AAGTTTCAGCAACTCTCGATCTGAATTTGGAGTCTAACAAAAGCAGTATGCATATTGATAATTGCTTTTCTATTTCTCTCACACGCACACACACACACATACACACAGGGGAGGGGCCGGTTGTTAGCCGTCTGCGTGCTAGAAATATTTGGCTGCCCCCTCATCGATGCGGATCGCAATTAGATTCGTAAACTAACCCAACCCATGGGAGCCTAACATTATGTTTTAAATGACAGTTCCATATAGTTGACAGGGGTAAAAAAATGTATGAAAATATTTGATATATTTATTTTAATTATATTCTTTGAAGTGCACTGTCGGCCGCCCCAGGAATATGGCCACCCGCGTGCACGCACGCACGGCACACCTACTAGAACCGCCCCTGCACATATACTGCAACTATGTCTTCATAATCGCGAATAAACTTTTCTTCTGTATCATATGTGGAGCTGTAAATTAAAGCATTCAGCGGCGATATCTAACGATGTGCCCGTACCCAGGGCCGTGCGTAATTGTGAATTGATATTTAAAATTTCTCCTTACAATCTTTCATTCAAGGTACATATACGGTATTAAGCCTCCGTAGCCTTTTACTCAATAGTAATTCTCGTATTGGTGAAAATTAACCTGCACATGTCAACGATTAAAGCACAGGCAAATTTTTTAAATATACTACAATGGAAGAAGTAATTTCGAGTTGACATCGAACGGTCGTAGGCGAGGCTCGAGCTTCTTATCTCCCTCAAGTTGTTGTATTGGTGCTAGGATTACGTGTATGTACTTTGCCGGCTGACTGATTTTACGACCTCACTAGATCGGTTCCACCGACTATATACCGTATCTTTGATTCAATCTTAATCGGAAAACGTAAAATACCGTGTACGATCCTATCACTGCATCAATCTGTGCCACTATTTAATGCTTCTATTTACGATCTCTGATTTGTTCCATTAACTATACCTCGTTTGAGTTTAGTACGCATACGCTTCATTTATATTACGAGTACCAAAGGAGAAAGAGTTGTGCTGAAATTAGAAGAGAAGTTAAATATCATTGAATGTTTAAAAGAAGATGAAAATGCTTCTAATTTAGCGATAGAATATAATGTTGGAAAGTGTACCATTACAGGAATTAAAGGTAACGAATCGAAACTATTAGAATTTCGAAAGAAATTCAACAGAAATTTTAAAGTACATATGTAGTGGTTGGCTCAAACGATTTAAACCTGTTGGGAATTAATCAAGGAAAATCACAGTATTTATTGAATGTTGCTTTTAATAAGAAAGGAACGAAAGAACTTTACACACGGCGCGACACGTGCTCTACTACTTGTACATACATTGTACTATGCATAGGTTAATATTCGTAGTTAATACATGCTGCAAACTACAAATGGCGCTTTTAGGCAATTTCCAACAAAATCAAGACGTAAGAT